TCAACATAACACCATACAATTGACGCTATGTTTCACGACACATTCTAAGTTCCAGTTTCCACATTTTATACACGTATAAAGTTTGTTAACACTCGAGTATTTATACAATAATATACAGAATACTCAACATAACACCGTACAAATGACTCTATGTTTCACGACAAATTCTAAGTTCCAGTTGCTACAGTTTATACACGTATAAAGCTTGTTAACACTCGAGTATTTATACAATAATATACAGAATACTCAACATAACACCATACAATTGACTCTATGTTTCACGACACATTCTAAGTTCCAGTTGTCACATTTTATACACGTATAAAGCTTGTTAACACTCGAGTATTTATACAATAATATACAGAATACTCAACATAACACTGTACAATTGACGCTATGTTTCACGACAAATTCTAAGTTCCAGTTGCCACATTTTATACACGTATAAAGCTTGTTAACACTCGAGTATTTATACAATAATATACAGAATACTCAACATAACACCGTACAATTGACTCTATGTTTCAAGACAAATTCTAAGTTCCAGTTGCCACAGTTTATACACGTATAAAGCTTGTTAACACTCGAGTATTTATACAATAATATACAGAATACTCAACATAACACCGTACAATTGACTCTATGTTTCAAGACAAATTCTAAGTTCCAGTTGCCACAGTTTATACACGTATAAAGCTTGTTAACACTCGAGTATTTATACAATAATATACAGAATACTCAACATAACACCATACAATTGACTCTATGTTTCACGACACATTCTAAGTTCCAGTTGTCACATTTTATACACGTATAAAGCTTGTTAACACTCGAGTATTTATACAATAATATACAGAATACTCAACATAACACTGTACAATTGACGCTATGTTTCACGACAAATTCTAAGTTCCAGTTGCCACATTTTATACACGTATAAAGCTTGTTAACACTTGAGTATTTATACAATAATATACAGAATACTCAACATAACACCGTACAATTGACTCTATGTTTCACGACAAATTCTAAGTTCCAGTTTTCCCACATTTTATACACGTATAAAGCTTGTTAACACTCGAGTATTTATACAATAATATACAGAATACTCAACATAACACCGTACAATTGACTCTATATAGAGACAAAATTACCAAGTATTGGTTGGGTTATCTTCAGATAATCGTAAAGATAATTCTTAATTCTTGCTTATGCTATCGCATGCTTAAATCTTGCAAATATTTTATATGCTCAGAACAAGTAGCTGCAGCATGCAGGTTCAGTATAAGCATAATAAACTTCGTCTGTGTAAGCGTTTTGCTAAGAAAAGGCTCAGAAGACAATTTGAAGTCTATATGTGTTTCTGAACTATAGTGAAATGAAATAATTTGAAAAATAGAGTGCCAAAATTTATTAAATGAGAGCTCAGTAATGGCAGCCGAGTAATAGCAGGTTTGAATACAAAAACCTGGATTATGATGGAATTTTCCGCTAAAATTTGGAGAGTATGCTTAATCAACTCTTCATTTTATAAATTGTAATAAAATGTTGACTCAATTTTTCGTCACAGTGTCACTTTAACTGCTCCTAGCAAAATAGGTGTTTTGAATGTCATGTCATGGCGCCATGTTGGCGGTCAAGTAAAAAAAAACACTTTATCTACTATTGTGTGCACCAGCATTTGTGAGCGAGCCACAATGTATGATAATTACATGGAGGTGCAATCTAAAAATATGATAAGAGGACAGACGCACGGAATTGAGGTCACAGAAAATTCCTTGTATTTAAATGACAAAAGAACGGAGAATTTATTTGAATATTTACCTGAATATATCCCTGAATGGGCAAATAAAGAAATTAAGAATGCCTAGTTGAAGCATTGGACGTATTTGAGCAAAAAGAAAAGAAAAAATCCTGTTTTCAAAAATTGATTTGCCCCGGCGGCTCGTGGCCACTCAGTTTTTATCACAATGACGTCATACCCGTGTATCTATAACTGTATAGACAACTGTTAAATGTTATCAATTTGTTAAATAAAACAACCAAATTATCTAACCATACATTTTTATTAAAAAGTAAATCATCAACATGAAATTTGTTCAGAGATACAATACATTATAATATGTTTGACAAAGCATCTTACAGTAGTAGTCTAATCTAGAGGATGTCCTGTTTAAATGACAATTCATTTATGAAGATTACAAGTAGAATCTTAGAAAGGAATAAACAAATATTCGTGATCAATTAGTATAGAAGCGCTCTTTTTAAATACAAGTCATTTGTGTTATAAAAAGCAATTATACATCGTTTCAGATTATTGCAAAACATAGATAATATTTTACATTCTTTAATAGCAGGAGGTAAGATATTCCAAGAAATAGCACAGATAAATTTAAAAGGCCTCTTGCAAAATTGGTCCAAATTTCTTTTTTGGTAATATAGATAATTTCTTAAAGATTGCCTGGTAGAATAAGTAAATTTCTTCTGTAGAAAACTATAGTAGGTGGAAACAAGCAATCATCCTTACGACCATCAACATCTATGTGCAATTTTCTCAAAATGTTTTGAATTTACTATTAAAGTTTGAGTAGATGTATTTATTCAGGAACATTAAGTTTTAAAAATTGAATTCTGCAATCTAAACTGTCAACAATGGCTAAAGTTCCTGTATTGGAATGCATAGTCATATGAGACGTAAAATAATCTTCGTTAAATTCAGCGCATACTTTACTACTCTTTAAATCTACAGCAACCAATGACGCAAAAAATACTCCAATGCAATAAGATTTGTGTACGACTAGGTTGGATTTCAAACCAACTTTAGAGACATCATGCAAAATCGCATTCACATTACCATTCTCGTGAACATTAATTACATAAATGTTCATCCATTCGTAGTCTGTGGAAAATGTTATGGCTGCTTGTTTACTATCACTTATAAAGCAGTTGAACTCTAAATCATTTACAGTTATCTGTTTCCGAACAAATTTTTTAATGAGAGCTGTTATGGGTATTTGTGCAGTATGCCAAGGTTTCAAGTAAAGTTCATTGTTGGTATTTCTCCATTTCCATAATGTGTATTCTGTTTTGTTTACAGTTAAAATAACAGAATTATCAGGTGATACAGCAGCTGCTTTAAAGTTGAACTATGGACAGGAAGTCTTTTGTTGTATTGTATCTCACCCTTGGTAATTTTAACAACTTGAACAAAATCTTCTTCGTCAATACAAACTAAGACATCACCAAATGTTAAGATTTCTACAGGTTTAAATCCAATGTTAACATGCTTTCCTTGAGTAGAATCTACAAAATTTTCAGACGAAGTTGATATCTTTATAAGATGATCAGAACCATCCCATATCCACAGTAAACCATCCAACCACCAACATCCTAATGCATCCTTCAGTTGCATTGGTACAGTTTGAATAATAGTGCAACGTTCAATGCTCCAAATATGAATGTTGACGTGGTCACCAACAGCGAAAGTGGCCAAAAATCCATCCGGTGAAAACAACAACATTTAATTTTAAATTTCTCAAGATAAATGAAGGTCTCCAAAGATGATCAGATTTGAAAACTTTAAGCTTGAAAAATACGGCACAACGTAAAATTGCTTAAACGAGATGGGATGGACTTTGTTGAGAGTCTTATCAACACATGGACACCTAACATATGGTAAATAAAACTTGATTTCTCCTTGATTGTTGTATTTTGTCAATTGAGTGATTTCAGAAAGCTTTACAACATGGTTTGTATGATAAAAAATACAATCACGATAATGTTGGGTTATATTTGAATATACAAATAGTGAATATTCATCAGAAAAAATATTAATTGCTTTCGGAAATTGAAAAACATACGAAGTCTTGTCAATGACTGCAACAAAGAACTCTGAATATTTATCGGTGCATTGTAGTTTTTGGTAATCAACAACGCAGCGTCGATCAATTCTTTGCAAAGTTAATGAATTCCATGCAGTGAACACTTTTTTAGAAGAAATTCCATCATATCTTGCTGTAATAAACAAACCAGAATCTAAGAAAGAGCAACGATTAACGACAACATCTGTCTGTAAACATGATAACAAACGTCCATTGTTAACGTCCCACAACTTTACTTCAGTAGATCCATCACTAGTTACCAGTCTATTTCCGGTAGGTGAAAAGGAGCAACAACAGATGTTTCCACTTACAAAACCAATTTTCCTTAATGCTGAATAGTCATAGATGTCATACAGGGACATAAATGTGTTTTCACCCCGCTTATTCAACCTTGAATCATCAAGTGCAGTGCCGAGAGTGCTTCGTTGCTCAAATTCAGGAAGTTCAAAAATAGATATTTGACCATTTTCATATCCTACAGCAAGAAGTTCTTCATTGGACGACACACAAAGAGATGTAACGTTAACACGCAAGGAGACAGTCAAATGATGATGGTTTGTTAAATATGTTGTGTCTAAATTCTCAAACCAAGAAAACTTTCCTTGTTTCAATAAATCCTTTGCCAATAATCTTTTTTCGTTACTTGCATGACTTTTGTTTACAATAGCTTGTAAATAAATTAATATTTCATCAAACATATATGAGTTATATTCCATTGTCATAAAGAAAAGAAATTGTGCTTCCTCAAGTACATCTTTTCTCAAGAAAGTACGTCGCTCCTTAATGATTTCACGCAATTCAAACCTAATGAAAAACATGTTAATGCTTTCCCCACACATTAACCTTGCACAAACCACTTTGACATCTACTGCCCAGCTAAAGTCAACATTTTCGCCACATTCTATCATATGGTGGACTCCATTCTTCAATGCGTATTTAATCATAGCAGTGTTCATCTGATCTTTAAAAATGTTCATCGACTTGATTTGTTCAAACACTTTCTCACAAGCTTGCCATAAGAACTTATGTCCATTTTTTAGATCAACTGTAAACTCATGCTGTTCGTAACCATCTGATTTTAACCAATCAATGAGAGACTTGTGATACACGGTCAAATAATCATCGTAAATTGGAAAAATTGAGATAGCACTTCTGTATTTTAATACGATCTTCAAACTTCATGCCATCAGAAAAACCTAGACATTGAAAAAGAAAAGACAAAGGCAACATACTTTCATAAGAAACCAACACTTCAAGACATTCCGTAAAGTTTTTATCGGAAATAACGGTTTTGTGTGTTGATAAAATTATTCCTTTCAATAATTTATTTAATCTCTTGAATTGTTCTGTGTAAAATTTACTCAATCCAGTAGGAACCAATTGCTCAATATTCTCGATAGTTAGCTCAGTTTCTTTCTTTAAACTCTCTTGTGCGTGGTAAGCGTACAGAAACGAACCCTCGCATTTTTTAACTAATAAATTGAAAGCACCATCACTATTTTTTTTTGCCAGATGACTCAACTCATGTCTCAAATACTTGTGCAGGTCTTCTTCGTTGTTTTCATTAAGAGGACTAGTTGTAATTTCCACAGGACTCATGTCTTTCAACTCCTTATGAACTGGAAGTTCTGGACGACTGGTGATGAAGATTTTAATCCATTTAGGAAGTCGGTGAAACTCTTCTGCAATCAATTCCAACAATTCACTTTTGCCATCAACTTGACTTTCATCTAAGGCATCAATAACCAAAAGCATTGGTTTATGATTTTTTAATGAATGCAATGGATTATTTAATAAAACAAGGAATTTATCGGTGATCGATTCTTTGGAATTGTTTCTCTGTAATTGATCATTTAGTTTTCTTTTAAATTTTGTTATTGTATCACACATGCTACTAGCCAATGATTCTATCAATATTTGAAGATTTGTATAATCTGATATATTAAATCTGCAGAAATGACAAGCAGCAAGTTTCTTCTTTCCAGAATATCGTCGACACACCTCAGCAGCAAACACACTTTTACCAACACCTGGACCGGCAATCAAAATCATGACATTAGAAGAATCTTTACTTTTATCTTTAAACCAAGTGTCGAGTTTTTCAAATAACCATTGCCTAGTGCCTTGTAAGTATTTCTTGTTAAGATCTTTTATAAGACCGTTGAAATTACACTTTCCAAGCTTTTCGACATCTGAATATGTTTTGCCCTGTAACATTTGTTTCATCTCTACAACATTTCTATTCGTTACTTTCACATATTCTTTGATTTCTTCACTGACATTGATTATATGCTCTTCTTTTTCATACCATTCTTTTAACATTTCAATATAATTTGCTTCATCGGTAGTGAGGGGAGCTTTCTTTAATTCATCTATTTCAGTTTGTTGAATACCCAGACCAACCAATGTTTTTGAAATTTCCTGCCACAAGTACTCAAACTCCTTGTCATTTACACTAGTTGTGCTTATGTGACCATACACTTTGTTTCGATAAAACTTTATTCTTGCAATATTTGCTGAGATTGAAGTATCTGAAGAGGAAGGAAGATTATCCCATCCACCATGCGGTGCTGTTAGACCACATATATTACGCAATAAGACAGTCAATAGTGTGATGTCAAAGTTTTCAATGTCAGGATCACCAATTGACGGGTAAAGAAGACCCCATTGCATATTCTTGATAACTTTAAATTTCAAAGATGTTAGTGTCTTCTTTGTAGAGGGATCTTTAAGTTTACCTGCTAAGCTTGATGGCTTTAATAAAGATTGCAATGTATGTGTCAAGGCTTGTTTTCCTTTATTTATCAAAAGTTTACTTAAACGAGATCCGTTTGCCTCAAACTTCAGTTTTTGTGGTGGCGAGGCCATTTTTCTAGCTAGAAATGAAGAGCGAGTTTGTGCAAAAAGCATTAATTTGCAATGTACAAAATGAGCACAAAATTAAATGGATTGATGAACAAGTAGTATTGCAAGTAATTTTACAAATAATCTTTTCTTTTTTTATTCGTTAAAAAATACGTTCACTCTTCTCAGTAACAAGACTCAGTAGTTGATAGTAAATCATGGAATTCAGCATCCAGTAATAAAAACGACTTGACACAATAAAAAAATAGATTTGACACAATAGATTTAACAAAAAGCAACATTCTAGGTACGAATGTATTTACATTAATTTTTTTGCTCTAGCTGCATAATGTTCATATGTTGAATGTGACAATGTGAGCAAAAATAAGCTGTTCGTCAAAATCAAACTGATTTTTTAATTTCATACAGCAAATTTTTAAAAATTTATCAAATGACATCAAACGAAGCGATTGACACAAGTTGCTGTTCAAAGATAAAAACCGCACTTTTATTCAAAACAAATAAATATCTTATGTGTAAGAAATCCAAGCGTTTTTCTTTCTAACTTGATTCCTTTTGATGATAAAATGCTATGATTCTTGAAATCAGTGAATTATTCGACTTCCATGTCAGGCATTTTTAAATGAATAAAAGGATCATCAAAAAATGCAAAACAGCAAAAGAAAAGGAAAACGGACAGTCTTTTGTGGCAACATGACCTGGCTTAAAAAACTTTTATCAATTTAAATAAATTTAATTGTGCATTATCATGAGAGTACTGCGTGTGCAAATGCATTTTAAATTTATATTTACTTATTACTGTGGTAGTGTATAATTGATGCAAATCGTTCGCGGTTGATATAAATATTATCATATAGTCGTTTTGATACGAAAATAGATCATTCGTGTTAACAAGATGAGACGCAATTTACTAAACCAGGCATAAATATATATTATCGTATTATCCAATAAAACATAGCGCCATTTAGATTATAGTTTCGTTTAACGCTCATTTTTATTTTCTCGGAAGTTAGAATCACCTTGTAATGTATTAAATATAGTATAATATATGCTTTGTGTATCTGTGTATCTACTGAAAATGTGGATGAACTGTCAATGAATCCAAGTGAACGAGTATTCTGCCATTTAGTCAAACTTTACATGTGTATCTGTGTATCTACTGAAAATGTGGATGAACAGTCAATGAATCCAAGTGAACGAGTATTCTGCCATTTAGTCAAACCTTACATGTGTATCTGTGTATCTACTGAAAATGTGGATGAACAGTCAATGAATCCAAGAGGACGAGTATTCTGTCATTTAGTCAAACCTTACATGTGTATCTGTGTATCCACTGAAAATGTGGATGTATAGTCAATGAATCCAAGTGGACGAGTCTTCTGACATTTAGTCAAACCTTACATGTATATCTGTTTATCTACTGAAAATGTGGATGAACAGTCAATGAATCCAAGTAGACAAGTGTTCTGCCATTTAGTCAAGCCTTACGTGTGTATCTGTGTATCTACTGAAAATGTGGATGAACAGTCAATGAATCCAAGTGGACGAGTGTTCTGACATTTAGTCAAACCTTACATGTATATCTGTTTATCTACTGAAAATGTGGATGAACAGTCAATGAATCCAAGTAGACGAGTGTTCTGCCATTTAGTCAAACCTTACATGTGTATCTGTGTATCTACTGAAAATGGGGATGAACAGTCAATGAATCCAAGTGGACGAGTATTCCGCCATTTAGTCAAACCTTACATGTGTATCTGTGTATCTACTGAAAATGTGGATGAACAGTCAATGAATCCAAGTGGACGAGTATTCTGCCTTTAGTCAAACCTTACAATATAACGAGTGGCCAAACAATATTGCTTAAAATCAATATTTTACACAATTTTTACTCACCAGCGATGACCAAAACGACTATTTCTTTATTGCAACATATATTTCTTGGTTCAACCACGTAGAGTCACAGTTTTATATTGAAATATTTCTTCATTCTTGTCTTTCATTGTATTGCAATGTACACATCATTGAAATGTAAGGGATGGGCTCATCACGAGATCATTATGATTCACAGCTTGTAACTGGATACAGCTGAAAAGTAGACAATAATCATGTTCATTGTTCATATATGGTTGTCACCACAATTATATTTTTACAGAGATTTTACAAATAAATTATCGGAGAAGAGATCAGTTGCACAAAGGTCGAATAACGCTATCCGATGAACTTTGTAGCAATGTATTTGAACGCTTCAAAAATCTCTTGAAAGGAAAAAATTCAACGGTTTGAACAAGACAATAATTGAAATACAAAATTGGTTCAAATTTACAAAGTTTCCTCATCATACACAAAATATAACCACTTTTTTCACAAGTTTGTAAAAGTTACTATCCAATGGACAACGCTATCCACGCTTTGTGCAAGAGGCCCCAGTATAAATTTGAAAAATTTTTCAATAGGAAGAGGCCACAAATCATCCAAATGAAATGACTAAACTGTTTTTCCGAAACTCCAAGGTCAAAGATCCAGAGATGAGATCATAATCGGTACTAAGCACCTGTCAGCATAACAAACCTTCCATTTAATATGCCTTATTGTCGTGTAGTGAAAAATCTACGAAACTTGACAAAACTAACAGCTTGATAGCATAAATCTCCTTGAAAATTGTGGTTATATCTCATATGATTTTGATAAATGGCTGGATCCTCTTTTTTGTGATGATTTTGTAAGTAAATTACAAATAACTTCATAAAATAGAAATTTTGACAATTGGTAATGAAAACAAAATGAAATCGAAATATCGCGGTAAATTATAGTCTTGTTTTCATAAAAGATCATATCTTAATCGGAAAGATTCATTAGTTTGAAATAGAAATAATTAATAAAGGCAATGGTGTAGTTTCTAGAGTAATTACAGATAAATATGCAAGAGAGAGAGTTTTTTAAATGCTCTCTTTAAAGACAGTTTTCATTGCTTTACAGTGCAATTACACATTTTCACATGTTAAATTGGTAATTGCCAATAGAACTCAGAGCAATCTACCAATCACGCTTAAGAATATCTTAAAATATATTATTTTAAATGTAAGATATGCCACGCATTATAATTGTAAAACGACTTAAATAATGTGATTAAACATTTTGAAAAAACGAAGATTTTATTATCAAAATGTGCTTTTGAGTATTTTTAGTTCTAAATAGAAATTTTTATAAATGTAAGAAGTGTCATTATATCAAAAACGACTTAAATAATGTGCTCAACTCATTGATTAAATTTCTATTAGAATATAAATCGTGTAAATTGTGAAAAAAATTAATGGAGTACCACATTGGTGTGTCACTGGTACAAAATGTTGTTCAGTTCATAGTTATGAGTTTGATGTTGTAAATTACCGTTGTTGTTCTTGATTGAATGGAAATTTTTGTTTTAACGGGAAGTGTTGTCTCTCTGGTTCTCTATGTGTTAGGTCTGGCGAATTGTGTTTTGACCGATGGAATTCAACACATGTATGAATAAAATATTGTATAATCTTTTCCATGATTACGAATTTCTATATCTTGACTGGTTGGAAAGGATATTTTTTCATTTATTTAGATTTTCATATACAACACAAAAAGTAAGGCAATATATATCTTGAAATATGTTATTTGTTTTATACAATTTAGTGAGTAATTAATATAGCTCTTTAAATGGTATCTTTGGCGTTGATTTTTACATTTCTTTATGACACTAGCTGTATATATACTGGGAGTCACAGTGATCCAAGAAGTCACTAGTCATTTGTGAAGAGAAAGATCATAAAGTGAGCAGGTATTCAGGCTAGTAAAAAAGAATGGATAGAAATCAAGTCGTTTAGTCAATGTGTATGAAACAATGTGCATGAACATGTAGAGTTGAGAAAGATGGATTATTCACATTTAAAGGGTCTATGGTTTTCAGATGTTTGCAAGGATAAGGAGGTTTCAGATATTGAAGTTTTGATTGGAGCAGATTATCTTTGGTGGCTTCAGGAAGGCAATTTTGTTCAGGGACAGGTATATGAACCAGTTGCTGTGTCTACTAAGTTACGTTGGGTGTTGTCCGGCCACATGAAAGAAAGAAATGATTTGGATAACATGCACATTCAAGTAAACTTCATTGTACATGAAAGTTCAGGAAATTTAAGTTTACATAACAATGTCAACAGTTTGTGGGATTTTGAAACTTTAGAAATAGCAGAAGAAGATGAAGTTCATGAATCATTAAGGAATTCTATTGTGTTTAATTGTAACAGATACAGTGTCAAATTGCCTTAGAAAGAAGTACATATCAGATTAAAATGATGATGAAGTTCATACCTTATTGAAACATCAATCTTTTATCCTTGTGAGTTTTGTTACATTAACACATTTGAATAACGAACGAAGATGAAGAGTGAGTCAGGATCTCCTTCAACAAACAGTATTAAAACACACTAATGACGTCTATGTAGAACATTCTAGTTATATAACTAAGTATACATCACTGACTCAAAACAATTGTTATAGAAATAAAAATACATAATTAAGAACCTCATGCAGAGTACATAACATTGAGATTATTTAAAGTCCAAAGGACTACTGCTAAATCTTATAAAGTGTCACAAGTTTTAACTCAGGAATAGAGAATCGCCTATCTAAGACAGGATTTGAATGCCAATGACTAAGACACGATTTTCGAAACTGTGAACGGATTTTTCCCTTAATTAATAAAAAATTCCATACATGTATATTCTTGCATAAGTCAGTTCATATTATAAAAAATCTTTGTTATTGAATAAATCTTTGTAAATCATGAATACATTTCAAACATCAGCTGCAAGAAATTGTAATTATTTATATGTTCAATAAAAACACTGTAGATACAAAAGTAAAGGATGCAATAAAAATAAACCTTAAAACTGTTATAGAAACATGATCAAAAGTATAATTTTAAGAGCACACTGTGTTGCATGAATCAACATGTCACAAAAATAGATTCGGTTGCGTTCTTTCTCTGTGTAAGTACATTCTTCCTGTGTTTAACATTTGCTTATTTTTCAAATTTTCTTACTTTAAAAAAGTGGTTTGTTGTATACAACTATCAAAATTTTGTTTGACACACAGAGATTAGTCAAAAGTGGCGTCAGCAAAGAAGGGAGGTGATGCATGATTGGACATGTGCCCCTCCCTACACAAATTTTTACAGATCCCCCTTTTTACATAGATAAGTATAGTTTATAAAGAAAAATTCAGCGTCTTACATGTAGAAAATGTTCTCATGTTATTCTGCCTCCTTCATATTTTTGAAGAGGTTCTACAGTCCTTTACAATGCAGCTTATTGTCAACAGTTAGAAGGTTGATGTATCAACTTAATATGATTTCTCTTGAATGCTTAGTCATACATTATCGAGATGCTTCAGTAGCAAATTTTTTATGTAAAGTTAGTAATATAGTTTCAGAATCTCGCTATACTTTCGACAAATTACCTTTGTTTTAGAAATAAGACTTCATATATGACGACTGTGTAGACAAAATTATGCTTGCTTTAGTTCTTTACATGTCACATACATTACAAAGATGAGAGATTCAATATAAACAACGCGACCACATACATATCAGATTAAAAATGGTGCTGAAGGTTCATATCTTATTGTAACATCAATCATTTATCTTTGTGAGTTTTGTCACATAAACTCTTTTAAACAGCGAACGAAGATGAAGAGTGAGTCAGGACCTCCTTCAACAAGCAGTATTAAAACACATTAATGACGTCTATGTAGAACATTCTAGTTATATAACTAAGTATACATCACTGACTAAAAACAATTGTTATAGAAATAAAGATACATAAATAAGAACCTCATGCAGAGTACATAATAATATTGAGATTAGTCAAATTCCCAAGCACTAGTGCTAAATCTTATAAAGTTTCACAAGTTTTAACTCAGGAACAGAGAATCACCTATCTAAGGCAGGATTTTAATGCCAATGATTAAGACAGGATTTAAATGCCAATGATTAAGACAGGATTTGAATGCCAATGATTAAGACAGGATTTGAATGCCAATGATTAAGACAATATTTAAATGCTAATTATTAAGACAGGATTTGAATGCCAATGATTAACACACGATTTTCGAAACTGTGAATGGATTTTTCCTTTCATAATGAAAAATTCCATACATGTATATTCTTGCATAAGTCAGTTCATATTATAAAAAACCTTTGTTATTGAATAAACCATTGTAAATTATGAAGACATGGCAAACATCAACTGCACGCAATTATAATTACTTATGATCAATAAAGACACTGTAGATACAACAGTAAAGGTTGCAATAAAAGTAAACCTTAAGACTGCTAGTCAAAAAAAGATCAAATTATAATTTTAAAAGCTCACTGTGTTGCATGAATCAGCAATTCACAAAAATAGATTCGGTTGCGTTTTTTCTCTGTGTAAATACATTCTTCCTGTGTTTAACATTTACTTATTTTTAAAATTTTCTTACTTTTAAAAGAAATGGTTTGTTGTATACAACTATCGACATTTTGCTAGAGACACAGCGATTAGTCAAAGTGGCGTCAGCAAGAAGGGAGGTGATGCATGATTGAACACGTACCCTACATACATAAATATTCACAGATTCCCATTTTTTCATAGACAAGTATCCTATTTCATCTCTCCTATATCTTTGAACAAGATTTGCTTTCCTTTACCATGCACTTCATTGCCAATAGTCAGAAAGTTGGTATATATATTTAGATATGATTTCTCATGCATGTTTAGTCATACTTTATCGAGATGCTGCTTTCGCTAATTTGTTATGTCTGTAATGTAATTCTAAAATATCGCTTAATTCTACTAAAATTACTTCCGTTTTAGAAGTAAGACGACCGTGTGAACAAAATTATGCTTGCTTTAGTTCTTTACATGTCACATACTCAACAAACGGATAAAAGATTTAATATAAACAACGCGACCACATACATATCAGATTAAAAATGATGATGAAGTTCATACCTTATTGTAACATCAATCTTTTATCCTTGTGAGTTTTGTTACATTAACACATTTGAATAACGAACGAAGATGAAGAGTGAGTCAGGATCTCCTTCAACAAACAGTATTAAAACACACTAATGACGTCTATGTAGAACATTCTAGTTATATAACTAAGTATACATCACTGACTCAAAACAATTGTTATAGAAATAAAAATACATAATTAAGAACCTCATGCAGAGTACATAACATTGAGATTATTTAAAGTCCAAAGGACTACTGCTAAATCTTATAAAGTTTCACAAGTTTTAACTCAGGAATAGAGAATCGCCTATCTAAGACAGGATTTGAATGCCAATGACTAAGACACGATTTTCGAAACTGTGAACGGATTTTTCTCTTAATTAATAAAAAATTCCATACATGTATATTCTTGCATAAGTCAGTTCATATTATAAAAAATCTTTGTTATTGAATAAATCTTTGTTATTGAATAAATCTTTGTAAATCATGAATACATTTCAAACATCAGCTGCAAGAAATTGTAATTATTTATATGTTCAATAAAAACACTGTAGATACAAAAGTAAAGGATGCAATAAAAATAAACCTTAAAACTGTTATAGAAACATGATCAAAAGTATAATTTTAAAAGCTCACTGTGTTGCATGAATCAACATGTCACAAAAATACATTCGGTTGCGTTCTTTCTCTGTGTAAGTACATTCTTCCTGTGTTTAACATTTGCTTATTTTTCAAATTTTCTTACTTTAAAAAAGTGGTTTGTTGTATACAGTGTTTGTTGTATACAGTGGTTTCTTGAATGCTGCTGTAGCAGAATCAGACCAGTCAAGCTTGGAAGGTTGAGATTTCTTATGAGAATCCGATGTGTCCAGCATATCGGTGAGAGGCTGAACAATACCAGAGCAGTGGGGAATAAAACGACGGTAGAAATTTACGAGACCTAGAAATTCGCGGAGCTTGCGGAGAGAATCCGGTTGAGGATAATTGCGGATAGCGTCGACTTTTGAGGGAAGAGGTTGGATGCCGTTAGCATTGACCATGTGACCAAGAAAGTCAAGAGATGTTGCTCCAAAAACAGATTTTTGAGGATTGATGATAACACCATACTGACGAAGACGAGTGAAGAGAAGGCGGAGGTGTTTTTCGTGTTCGGAGGTGTTAGAGCTAGCAATTAGTATGTCATCAATGTAAACAAATACAAAGTCAAGGCCACGAGTGACTTCGTCCATGAAACGTTGAAATGTTTGAGCTGCATTACGGAGACCAAAGGCATATGGGTAAATTCGAAAAGACCAAATGGTGTCGTGACAGCTGTTTTGCAGATGTCTTCTTGTGCGACCGGAATTTGGTGGTAAGCACGGACTAAATCAATCTTAGAAAAGAGTCATACCGTGGAGATTGGCAGAGAAATCCTGAAGATGTGAAACGGGATACTGATCGGGTACAGTCATTCGGTTAAGCGCACGGTAGTCACCACAGGGTCGCCAGTCACCGGGTTGTGGCTTGGGAACCATGTGGAGAGGAGAGGCATACTGACTGCTGGAAGGGCGGATGATTCCAAGATCAAGCATTTGTTGGAATTCTTTTTTGGCAATGTGTAAACGATCAGGTGGGAGACGGCGTGGACGTGCAAAGCATGGGGGACCTTTGGTAATAATGTGATGTACTACTTGATGTTTCACTGGTGTTTCTTTGGTGGTGGGTCGAGTGATCTCTGGGAAGTCTTGTAATACAAAAGGTGCAGGGGATTGTGTAGCATGAACAAGAGAAAGAGAAGGCATTGATGTGGCGATTCCATTGACTCGAATGTGTGTTTCTGCATCAATGAGACTTTCTGAGCGAAGGTCGACGAGGAGGTTGAAATGGCGCAAAAAATCAGCGCCAATGATTGCCTGGCGGACGTCAGCAATGGTGAAGATCCATTGAAAATGGCGTCGGCGGAGTCCAAAGTTGAGGGTGATTGACCTCTTGCCGTAGGTAGCAATTGTAGAGGAATTGGCTGCCTGGAGGTCATAAGCTTGCGTTGTCGTCGATCTGCGGAAAGTGGTGGGATGACGCTAACTTCGGCACCTGTATCGATGAGAAATCGTCGTTTGGTGGTCTGGTCGGTAATGAAGAATAAGCGGCTTTGTGTTGAAGCGCCAGACGATGTTGCCGCGTCTATTGTCTGGCGTTGTAGTTTGACGGTAGCGATGTGTGGAAAGTACAAGGTTGAACACATTTGCGGGCAGTGGCGCCGAATTTGGCGTGATACCAGCAATAACCATTATTAGATGATCTGTGAGTGGGATCAGTCGGTTGCGGACGAGGGCGAGGTAGACGGTTATTGACATCTGACGATGAAGGGAAACGAAGATTGAGAGCCTGTACTGACGCAACAAGATCAGAAACTGTCTTGCGAAGTTGATGAAGCTCCCAGATTTGGCAGATGTGTCAATAATAGGTTCTGTTGCCACGGTCGAAAGGGTGGCTGTGGGTTGTTGAATGTTGTTGACCTCTAATTTTATCGGCCAACTTGGCAAGGTTGTTGAGGTCAAGAGTGTCCTGTGTAGGTGCCAGAATAGCCTGAACATTGGTAGGGAGACGTTGTATAAATAATTGTTTCATGATGGATGGGGGCAATGTCTGGGTACCAAGTAGTTGTTCCATCTTGCAAAGGAGTTGGGAAGGCTTCCGATCTCCTAGTTCTTCGCCTGTGAGCAGTTGGTGAAGTCGCTGTTGCTCAGATGTTGAGGTACGGTGGATTAACTCGCGTCGCAGGATGTCAAATGGATCACGAGCTGGGGGATGAAGGATGATATCGCGAACCTCCTGAGCAATTTCGGGTTGAAGGGAACCAACAACGTAAGCGTATTTCGTTTTTTGTGAGGTGATATTGCGCGTCGTAAATTGAGCGTCAATTTGAGAAAACCAAAGTTCTGGATAGTTAGGCCAGTATGGTGGAAGTTTGATGTTGATCATAGAAGCGGTTGATGTGACAGGTGAAGAATCTGTCGTTGAAGAGGTGTTGAGTTCATCAGTTGTAGCCATTTCGCCAGTCAAGAATATCTTTCGGGGTCACCAATTTAGCGTTATATATAAGTCTTTCGTATGAGCTCTGAACGTGAGTTCAATGTACTAGAACGCTATTAAATTTTGTGATTATTTTATTCACTAGCGAAGAAGTTATTTACAACAGTCGTGAGAGTTCTATGTGTTAGAATTTATTTACAGGCTTTTTATACATTTGGTTAAAGAAGGTGCAGTTATTACACAGCGGATAATGTACTTGAAACTTGAGTAGTTTTACGTAATTATAAAGTTAAGTGCGTAAGTTTAAGTAGCGTTTGAGTAAGTGTAGGATAGGCTATTTCCTCTATTGCTAATACACGAATCTAGATGAGTGATGTACGCACGTTATGTACGTCACTACAGATGTACAAACTACAAAACAACGCAATGCAAAAATTAATATTTATATATGTATTACATCCGTATATGGTCAGAAGAACCATATATGTCGACTGTTGACAGACTTTCCAGTCCATTGAGTTATATAATAACTAGAGCGGCTATCTCAAGCACGGCCTTAGATATCTGATGACGCAAAAAAATGGCGGATTTCGTCCTTTGCCGCTGAGATTTACCGAAATTGACAGCTTTTCCGAAAATTTCACAATTTCCCTCCTCCTGAGGAAAGAGTGAGGAAAATGTATGTGTATTTAGGATTTGGCAAGCAACTTTTGATGAAAATCAAGGTAAAACCTTAAATTCATAACAGCGAGTCAACTGTGGTTGTCAGTTATCTGCTCCTACGAGGATGCATTTATAACTATCGACGAAAGGCCTATATGTCGGCTACATGTATGAATGCAGATGTGCGTCGTTTTCTTACCAGCGTCAAACTTGTTTGATCGATTAAACTCTTTAGTCTATACAAAAAGTATATCATAGTTCATCTCCACAGTTCAGGAGAGAAGTTAGCTTATTTGTTATCATTGCTATTTTGCTTTTCATGCAATGGGCAATGGCTTTTTCGCCAATTGTAGGAGTTTTACTTATTTCTTTAAAAAAGTACATAATAAATCTCTGGATATTTACGGATTTTCTGTAATTGAGTTTCATATGAAATTCCAAAAAGACTCAAGTCTGCATAGGTTTGGTAAATGAAAACAAACAATATTGTATAGAAATTACTTTAAGTAACCTTTTTGTGATGTTCTGAAGTGCAACTGCATCAAATACTTGTAAGTTGTAGCACATTTTGATTTTGTTGTATTGATGTCTGAATTGGGCGAAATACAATTAATCATCAAAACACTTATGTACTAGCAAAATTAACACAGTAAAAAATGGATAGAAACATTAAATGCCGACTGGCTTGAATACGGGAATGGTGGCCAAGTGGTGAATTCTCTGCGCTGTAAAGTTTGTATAAACAAAGAGGAGAGAATAACAAGCGCAAAAAATTTCTCTCGCACATTCATAACAGGATCAGCTGTTGTAAAGAAAAAAACAGTGGTAAATCATATGAATTCTGATAAACATAAGATGGCAGTTAAGCTAAATTTGGAAGAAACGTTGAATGAGAAATATGTTGAAGAATACTTAAACGAAACTCCCATTGGGCAAGGACTCAACAAAATGGCAGTTGCCGATCGCGAAAGGATGGAATATCTCTTTAATGCCACTTACACTGTGTGTAAAGAAGAGTTGCCTTTCAAAAAATATATCCCCATTTGCGAGCTCCTGGAGAAGTGCGGCTTTGATCTAGGTAAATCGTATCGAACAGACCGATCAGCCGCTGAGTTGTCAGATCACATTTCTGGGGTCATGAAAGGAATCTTGATGAAGATTTAAAGGATGCTAGATATTTGTCTGTTTTATGCGATGTAAAATAACAAGATATCAGTGTAAAATAACCGATACCAGTGTAAAATAACAAGAATTATTTTACGTGTTATATGTGAATAAGAACGGTCGTAGTACTTGCAAATTGATGTCGGTTGAAACAGTTGAAAACGAAGATGCTACAGGGCTAAAGAAAGCTACGAACGAAGCTTTTGCCCATTTTGTCACTACAAACTTTGAGTCGAAACTAGCTGCAACTGGTCTAGATGGGGCAAGTGTTATTATGGGGCGAAATACTGGTTTAGCAGCTCGTCTGAAAGGAGTCGCTTCCTGGCTCACTGTCGTCCACTGCTTTCATCACCGTCTAGAATTAGTTGCTGCCGACGCGTTCAATGCTACGTTTTTTGCATAAGTAGATGAAATATTGCGTCAACTGTTTTCTCTGTACCAGAAGAACAGAGTTCGTTAAGTTTCTAATGACCAACTCGAGATGTGAATCGTTAACGTCAGAATAACACACTTAGAAACTGATAAACCAAACTCGTTCATCCTCCTTTCAATGGTTCTTTGCTGACTCCTGAAGATTTGCCATATCTTTCAATGTAAAACGCTTATCCCAAAATAATGCAGAATATCTTCGTTTACTTTATACATTAGTCGCCCTGGTGTGCCACTAAAACTTGAGGGCAGTTCAAAAGAAGATGGATTAATATCATGATGAACATCGACATTTAAAATTTCTTTTGCGTTTGAGATTAACTCCAGAACAGCCTCTTCAAGCTCGAATACTTCAGCAAATCGCAACGTAGTATGGTAAAGAGAATCAATACGAAAACGCAAAAATCCCGATCTGGACTTCCTTCGAGGTCAGCAATACAACCCAAAATAGAGTTGCGAAGGATTCTTACCAAGTATAACCTGTCTGCCATGTTTTAGGTTGTAGACTTGTAGGTAAAACAATTGGTTTATTTTGTTTTCATTATTACCACATCAAGAAAACAAATTATAAATAAATTATAATATCACGATAGCACTCCGGTGATCACATAGTTCAGTTTTATGATTTCTTTTGGTATTTCATGAAAGAAAAAATTCGTAAAATTTGCAATTTCGCTATTTTTACACCAATGCCGGCGATTTTGTGAATCAGTTTGACCAATCAGGTGAAAGAGGATTTACTACACCATTGTAGGTGATTTAGAGAATCAGTTTGACCAATCAGGTCAAAGAGGATCTTACAAGCCTGCATACAACACATAAGGAGCTTTACGGAATTCAACCCAAGAAATCGTTTATTCTATAAAGTCTTATAAGGATAGTTATTGAAATTTTTACGTGTCTAAGGAAGGAGGAACCAGTTGTGAACTCGATAAATAGGGAGGTTCACATATTCATGTTTTGCTGTATTAACTTCCAGTGAAATCAATTGTTCTCTACAGATTAAGAGATGCATATATGACTTTCTGATGGTACATAGTAATTCTCTCAGTAAATATTGATGTTATACAAAGTTTTTCTCCCATGACCACCCCTAAAGTGAACCTTGTAAACATGTCAAGAACTTTACAAAAGTTATTTCTTTTTGTTTTTGAAAGTTAGAACTATGTTGACATTACAATTTTAGTGGGGTGTCGATTTTAGGATTTTCGTCCCGGATAAAAGAATTGTCACATGTACCATGTTGTTTGTCGTGGTCATTGTACACCTTCAAGTTGAGATTACTTCTGGTAAACGAAGTGATTACAAACTCTTATACAAGTAGTTCTTGACCACTAACTCATTCATTACACGTTTGTAATTGATCATGCAGCGTGCATAAACTAAACATTTGTTACTTTTTCCAAACATGACGTTACTAACGTTACTAACATCTATTTCATTGTTGCTAATACGTAACCTTGAGTTAGCATTGGTTAGTAACAAAGTGTTGCACTACGAGTCTACGACAAAGGCACACTATGTTTCACCAATACCAATTTAAAGTCTAATCTCTAACGATAGAGTCTCACGTTTTCAAACGTCCTTCCATATTTGCTAAATTTCAACATTCTAAGGTCGTTTACTGCATAGAAACAACAGCTTCCATTACTTAACTTTACAAAAGGTTATTTTATGCATGCGCAGAAGCACAACACAAACAGAAATACACCAACGCCAAATTGGGCTTCTTTCTCATGAAAGACTTATTCAAAATCGAAATTCCCTTTGGTTTATTTTTCAAATTAGGCTTGTCTAAGTTTTTTTTGTCTTCTTTTAAAAATCAGAATGAAACTGTTTCCTGATTTTATCGAAAATACTCAAAATAGCTACGATGCCAAAAACAGTACGTTACTGTGTACAACACAACGCAAATGCAAAAATTGACATTAATAATTTATTACACCCCTATTGTCATAAGCATATAAGCACCATGTATGTCGACTGTTGACAGACTTCCCAGTCTCAAAGTGACGTCTTTACAATTTGATGACATTGTGTCAACATGGATTTTAATGTCGTGCAGCGCACTCGTTATAAAGTAAAGATGAGTAAAGATAAAGCTTGAAAACTTTTTTCAATTTATGTGGTAACAATCAATAAAGAAGTTTTTTTGCATATCGTTGAAGATTTTCTGAATCTGAGTCTGCGCTATCAACAGCACCATAATTAGTCATCTCCTCTTTAAGTAATATTCCTCTGCCTTTATAATTTAAGTCACATGTATAAACAAATTATATTATATTCATATTATCTGAGATACAAAACTTTCAAATGTCAAAATAAGTAGGTGAACAAAAAACAGTGTGGCATTTTTAGAGTAAATGTGTAATAGGAATTAATGCAAGCTTATAGCATACGTTGATCTTGACCTTCTTAAATTGTTTGTTGTGATTGTCCATTCCACATTCAACCATATGATTCCTGATTAAATTCATTGGAATCTGCACTGAGCAATTTAAGCATTTCACTGTTGGTCCAATAGATATATCCTAGCAAAAACAATGTATGTATACATATAACATTTCCTGTATAATAATTTATTCCTTAAATTGCTCAAAGCTATGAATACAGTACCTTGTTTTCTGGAGCATCTCCTGCAGGAGCGTGATCATCCGTTTCCAAGGATGAGGAATCTAGATCAGCTTGAACTGGTCTAAAATATGAAATTTCCTTCCCTAGGGCAGAACTATCACGAAGAAAGTGGACAGAATATCCAATATTTGGTGGAGGGGTAATAAGATACAAATCTTTGGGTGATAAACCACTCCTTAATATCTCAAAACCCCCGCCTGATACCAGCCGGGGATAGATCTCTTCTAATTTTGCCTTCACTTTGGCCCACAATCGTGCTCATGGTTAGCCGTACAAAAAAAATCCTGAGTCCAAGTTTCTTGTGGTTTATAACACCGACCTTGTTGTCCCCACGACTTAGATCGACCACGTTTTGCTGTTGGATGAGAAAACATCTTTCCATTGTTAGCTCGATTATACGTTGTAAACAACCGCCTAAACTCCTGCTCTGTTATCGAACAAGATGATCTTGATGTAGAAGCTTGAGATGACGAAGCCTGATGTTGTTCTTGCAATGTACTGTCTAGTGTTGACGATTGGACACGTTGAGCAGCTCCATGATCGGCAAGATTACCATCTTGAGCAGTCGATGAAGATCTAAGACTTGCTGATCCAGAAGAGTCTGGATTCAGTAAATTTGCTGCTCGGCGAAGTAAAGCTGCTGCCTCTCGATTTTTCGCTCCATTATCATCCCCCATACCAAAAAAATCGTTTCTTTTGTACAGAATACTAAAGTTGCTTCGAAGGACAAAGATCGTTATAGTTATTGCATAAAATATTGCAACATTATAATTTATTGATATTGACAATTTTTGGCGGTAAATAATTACAAATAAATTATAATGCGATTGAGTAAAATTTGATGTTTTGCGAGTCACGAATAATGTTACGTCATCATAATGGAAAGTTCAACAACAAAATGAAATTGTGCAGGACAAAATCCGATTGTGAAATTCCAGAATGGACGACGATCAAGACAAAATGCACATTGCAAAGGACAAAATGCGCATTAGTAATTGAAAATATAGCTATTAATTTTGGCGGAGATCACCCTCCATACAAACTGTCTACCATCAAGAGTTCAATCTCAACAAAAAGCTTTGTCTCAAACTATCTACAACCATAACTTTTATGAAGAAGGCATGTTCACACGCTACTGCACGGGGGTTGGTGGGAATCAGTCTTTGACTTTCGAAAAGCGCATGCTCGTACTTTACAAGACGGGGGGAGTGCAACACGGCACATCATTTCCATCATTTAACCATATAAAAATCACTACTCACTCTTTCATCGTTCAAACGAAGAATTCTGGTAAACATAAGCAATAGTAAACTCGTCCAAGCATCCCTGTGACCAACTGACTGTAATTCAATAAACTGCCTTAAAGCTTCCTCGCAAATCCTAAAAAGAAAGAAAAAGAAAGAAATCAAATCAAGCCCTGGAGGAAAAGTTTAAATTGTTTCTAAAAGTAGGGATGCACATGGTTTGTTGATCTTGCTAATCCCCAGGTGTACCTCAACACCTTTTCCTCGACGCCTTCCCATGATTCCTTTCTCGCAACGTCATCGTACATGCGAAAGAGAATTCTCAACAGGCAGGCAAAACTGGACGTCTCTTGTTTCAATAAATTCGGCTTCGACTGTCCTTTAAAACCATGCGTGCAGTATAACCATAAAAGCAAATGTTTTTACTTTCACAAGACTTGGTCTAATGACCTTAGAATTTCCCACCTGTTTTATGTAGATTCAACATTCAGAAGGGGGGGGGAGGACAGTTTAAGCTCATACGACCAAATCTGGTAAAGAAACTTGGTCACGCTGCATGTGGGTGTCTAGGTATACGGACATGCACAGCTTTTGGAGTGGGCGCCCTAATAGAAAGGACAGCCACAAATTTGCCTTTTTGCTTGAACGTTTTGAATGTGATGTTTTTACTCGTGTATTAATTTTCAATTCAAATAGAAACTGTACAAAAATGTGTCGCTCGTGTCAAATGCTACAATATATTAATGAAACGTTTACCAGCTTTCCAAAGCGCCGTCCTCAGCTCGTTGTTACAATTGAAGCTTTTAGCAAACTTGTACGAGTTCTCCAGCATTTCGCAAAACAAAAACAGCTGGTTAGAGGTAAGATGTGGAATCATTCCGTCGTGTTTTCGTTTAGCGGTTCGTCGAGGAGTGTTGAGACCCTGAAATAATGAAAAACTAAGTCACCAGTCATAATTAGACATGTACGATTATTGAAAGTAAACAACTCTGACTACAGTGTATCGTTGCTACTTATAACAATGTCAAGACATGAAATTGTATGAAAGTTCAGCTCTGGCTAAATAAACGTCAAAAACCAAGATGAAAAACTCTCAAAGAGCGCATTTGATTGGATTATGGTTGACAATCACTCTCTGGAAAAACACGGTTGTAGCTACATATGGTATTCAAATGACTATTTTATAACTAAATAGTCCAACTTCCATTGTGTATATAAAAGTGTAATCATCACGATAGAACTCCGGTGATCACATAGTTCAGTTCTATGATTTCTTTTGCTATTTCGCGAAGGAAAGTAAAATTCGTAAAATTTGCAATTTGGCTATTTTCACACCAATGCCGGCGATTTTGTGACTCAGTTTGACCAATCAGGTGAAAGAGAATTTACTACACCATTCCAGGTGATTTAGAGCATCAGTTTGACCAATCAGGTCAAAGAGGATCTTACAAGCCTGCATACAACACATAAGGAACTTTAAGGAATTCAACCCAAGGAAATTGTTTATTCTATAAAGTCTCTTGAGGATAGTTATTGAAATTTTTACGTGTCTAAAGAAGGAGGAACCAGTTGTGAAGTCGATAAATAGGGAGGTTCACACATCTATGTTTTGTTGTATTAACTTCCAGTGAAATCAATTGTTCTCTACAGATTAAGAGATGCATATATGATTTTGTGACCACCCCACCCCTACAACCACAGAATAATAATTATACAGAAGGGCAACTCAAGTGTGCACTGCGTCCTCATGGCCGCCATTATTCCAGCAAGACATTTTTAGGGTTTTTCATTTGTTTCCAACCACTACAATTACATGACGTCATTACTTTGCAATGAGATTAAAAATATTTCAATATAAGAAATGACGTAGGTTCATTTTAGTGATTGGAAACAAGTAAAAAGCCCTAAATAACTTGCTGGAATAATGGCAGTCGATATGCGTGGCACAATATGCTTGAGGACAAAAACATCAAAGGTTCAGACATAAGTGAACTTTCTGTATACTCCATATAAGGGAGCTTTAGCAAGAGTACACTACGACAGCGAGTACGAAATTTGACCGTGTAAGGGAATGGCACGAGGAAGTTTGTTGTCGTTGTCGCTTCGTCAAAATTTAGTTTTAGTTGTAAACAACAGAACGAGCCTTTTTATTGTGTAAAACACCGACGTTTGCAAAGCAGCTACGGCTCTATTTGTCAATAATGATATCAACGAATCGGTAATACTGATTTTGCAAGAATATAGGACTCTTTAGACTGAAAAATCTTCACTATTTTAAGTTTTATGCACGATATATTTGTACTATTTTTTGTTTGTTTACCTTTCACTTTGCGTACGAAATACATGAAAGTTTTCAAGGTCATATTTTCCTTTTTAATGTACATCAAGCGCTCAAAAAAGGCTCTAAATTAAAACCTGGATGCTCGAAAATAATACTGTAAACTAATTTCTTACACAGGGAAAAATTATACCTACTTTCTTTTCTTAAAAAGACATCGTAGTCGCGACTACGAATTTTTTAAAAAACATTGAATTCAGATTGATGACGGCTACGTGTTGTTGTTGTCGCAACAATGTATTCGCTCCAAAATGACGTAAATCGTAGTCGTACTCGTAGTCTTTGCTAAAGCTACCTATTCTGTGCTTGCTAAGAAGTTTGTTTTGCCACCAAGGGGAACAACTCTGGTATAACAACATTACGAAAAAGCAATTTATCTCAGTATTACCTACAATGACCGTAATTACAACTGACCTGTAATTCAGCCATAGTATCTTCATTCTCTCGCTTGCTGGTGCTTGGGAAAAAGACGACATTGTCGATCATTTGGATTAGTTCCAATTGAACGACACACTTAATGATCAATGAATTGAACAGCATCCTCTCCGTCTGCACAACTAAAATAATGAGATGATTTTACGACGTTAAAGTACAGACATGAAAAAATAAAAAAATGTCACTCGGGTATTGGTTGAATATTTCCGTATTCACGCTCAGACGATTTTTTCATCTGTCGGTAAAATCGAACTTTTGAATATGCCAAACAAAGGGCTAATTTATTTTATATGAGGTCTTCTAAAGTAAAATAAAATAAGCAACGAATGCAAAAAAAGAAAAGAAAAATTAGTTTCTTAAGTCAGTGCTATTTGTTATGAAAAATAAGTGTTAACAGGAGAAGTAGTAATAATTACTAATTAGTAACATTATTAGTTCTATTAGTAACAATTAACAACATTATTGTTTCAAATATTGCAAAAAATGTAAATTTTTAGAACATAAGCAGTTTCAGGAAATGTTACATGACGTCGCTGTTTACTTCAGATTGAGTTTTTCAAACGCATATATCAATTATACGTTTTGCTACGCCTTTCCAATAAACCAAAGTAAATTGAACACGTAAATGGCAGCAGGCTGTGACAACAAATTATTTATCTCAATTGATTTCTAACACATAGTTACCTGGTTCGTGTTCTTCGACAGGTTCAAATCGTAAGCTAGGCGTACTATGTAAACTAATGCTGTCTTGTTCTTTGGTTTCTTAAACTGTTTCTTGAGGCATTTCCTCCTCCGTTTCATTCAAACCTTTTGACGATTGCTGGCCATTCTTGTTCGTCCTCGTCTAAATAAATAATACGGAAAATTTTCACTTGTTACTCAAAGAATGCAAATTGTTGGTCCATACGAGATAAAGATTCACACGAGCTATATTGCAATATGCGAACTTTTGCTTCATATAAGCTTTTGGTTCAAATGAGCTTTTTTAATATGCGAACTTTAGCTTACCATGAAATATTTTCCAATCTTATAATTATGGAGACAATTGAAGCAAAAATTTTCCTTTAAAGGAATTCACTAACTTTTATTTACCTTCGGGATATTTGGGCACGATATCATCCTCTAGGACGACAGGTGACATTATCTACAATATACGTCAATTTTAAGGGTAATAAATACATAAAACAAACAGAATAGTTATGAAAGTTTGTCTATAATTTTAGAGTGTCGGGCTTTAAAACTTCATAAAAAATACGAAGGGGCGGATTACATCATCGCGGTAGCCGGGATTCAGCCAAGCGTTAAAGGATTTTGGCAAATGGAAACGATTCAATACTTATCATCAGATAAATTTTGTAAAGCAATTTCACAATATTCTGATTTAATAACTACGCAAAACATTTAAAATTAAAACAACCAATTTTCCATAATTTGAGAATTACGACCAGAATGACGTGTGGCGCTTCGCAAACAGTTGTAATTTTTAACCTTGAAGTTTTGGCTCTTTTCAATCCCTTGAAATCATCGGGCTAGCTCGCTATCCGGGCCAGCCCTCCTCCATATAATGAGGCCCTAAGTGTAACTTACCTTGAGTGGTGATGACGCAGGAGTGACATCAGGTGTGGGTAGACTCATTACTTGTTGGTCAGCGGGTCTCCATTTCAATAGTTCGTGAGGTACGGTTGATTCAAATATCGTCTTTACACATTGACATGTCTTTTCCCAGACGTCTTCGGAGAACGTGTTGCCATTGGATATGACGAGATTTTCCAAACAATTGGTACTAGACCTCGCTAACTGCTCGTTATCTAAAGACATGTATTGAATGAACGAGCAAAGCAGGACATGGTGTTACAAAGCATTTACAGTCGAACCTGTAAGAAACTCTGATACTTCTTGTATATTAATGTACCTCAAACAAACCAATCACAAACTCTCATACTTCAAACCAATCACAAACTCGGACACAACGAACCAATCACCAAGGCAAATGCCAAGCACAAACACGTTGCGTAATCTCAAGCTTACTTGTTTGACACACCACTCTAGATGGCCATACATATCATCAAGAAGAATTTCAACAAGAATATCAAAATACTGAGTAAAAACATCGATGATAGCATATAGAGCGTGATTACAAGTTGTTGTCATCCATTCTGATTTCTATAAAGAAACATCACAAATTTCAAAACATTCTCAGCTGATGTCTCATTTTATAACGAGGAAATACAACACCTTATACACGGACTTTATTCTATGTAAAGAAAACGACCTTCCCGCAGTTTAACATTACTCCCTCCTGATTTAAAGGCAAAAGCATTCTCTACAGGTGGGTAACTTTCACAAACGAGTGTTTCAAACCTTCCATACTGGTACAAATCGTTTACACAAAATGAAATCGGTGTGTGAATAGGGAATGCAAGAGGATAAGAATGGATAGAGAATGAAGTGAATACGAGTAGATATAAAGATGAAGTGACTCTAGAATGAAAGTGGATAGAAGTGAATAAGAAATAGAGGAGGATATGAGGATCATTGAACTAAAATACATGGAACGCTACATGAAGCAATAATTGAAGCCAAATCTTACACCCAGACACGCGTGTTTAGTGTGAGATTTTCTCGCGGGTGTAAAATTTGGCTTCAAAAATTACTACGGTTTTCTATTACAGGTAGCGTTCCATGTATTTTAGTTCAATGGAGTGGATACACAATTGAAATGGATGAGTGAATGAGGAATGAAGGTGGATAGACGTGAACACATGAAATGAATATTATTCCATGTGGAACTGGATAGTCGTGTATGTAAGTTGACTTTTGCGATATAATGTGTTTATGGCAATCATAGACAATAAGACCACAATAACGACATATTATAAACTACGTGTTTTGAACCGTGGTCGATTACGGGAGAATAATGGACCGGCAAAATGTTTCTGAGCCAATCAAACGCGCCATTTAGCCGGAAGTGACGCTTGCCATATAATAAGAGCACAATAATGACAGTTTTCTAACCTCCTGCCAATCTATCTGTCTGTCTGGTAGTTTCATGTTGTCGAAAATTCGAAACACGACTTTAAACACATCACGCCACCAATGTTGGAGAACGTGTTCCCGTATGTTTTCATGATTTCAAACATCACGGTTAGGCCTCTAGTTGATGGATGGAAAATAGCTCACATTCAAATTATACAATACATACTAATCTATACAGTACATACAACTCAATATTTCCACCATACCTTGTTCTGACATCTAGTTTACATCGGTTGATGATACACGAAAGCTCAAAAAGGACTGGAAACCAGCCTTTCACCCAGATTCTGTCCTGCTCTGATATCCCAGCATCCTCTACTCCGTAGTCTTTAAACATCTGTTTATAAAAGAAAAGAAAACAGACGCCATTGGAAAATGCTACACGAAAAAGCGATTGAAATAGATGATTTGGGTTTGATTTGATCCAAAGTGGTTAGCTTTGATGTGATTTTGCAAAATTTTAAATCATTTCAAAGGTGAAAAGAAAGTAGATTTGCAATCGTCGTACCACAGGATTTTCGGAAACAAATTTGGCGCAATTTCGTATCAGTCTTATTGCTTCCATACTCGTGTCCGGGAAACATGCGTTGCATACTAATTCCGAGAGACACTTGACGGCATCTTGAAAAGAGTCGATGGTCGCGAAGAAATATTTCTCAAAAATCGTGGCTGAAAGAGAAAATGGGGGATGTGAAATTTATACACTGATAATCTTGTGGGATAAATGAATCTGTCAAAGCTTTGATTTACAAGTGCCGTTGAAACAGTAGAGAAACAGGGCTAGAAAAGTTTAAAAACTCTGCCTTTGACTAGTAATTTGCATCAACTAAAATATGTTTCATACATTTATTTCATTTCTCCATTAACTCTCGTTTAATTTTCATTCATGCATCATGAGGCGAAAATCCATCGACTTTATGGTAAATAAAAGTTTACCTTGAAAACTTATATAAATATGGCTGAATTACCATGGAAAAGAACGAACACATAAAATTCTTGTTGAAAAATAAACGAAGCTCTCTGCCACATCCGAGAAACACATTTACTTAAACGATATTCAAATTCAATTTGAATTTAATTAAACAATATTTTACACATGTCTAAGTAGTCCAAGATTGAAAACGGATTCACCACCATTTCTCAAACATATGCAACCATTTTTATTTTAAAATTTTAAAATTTGCACCGATAGAAGAACCTTACCCAAGAGAACAACAAACAGGTCGGCGGTAAGATTAGAAGAAAAACCTCCTTCCTTAAACTCCAAACCTGTTGTTTGAAAAGCAAGTTCCACGATTCCTTCATCATGATCGGACGCAGCCAAATGAAAAACGGAGAAAACATTTTTCCAACCAGATTTGATGTTTGCGGCTTACGAATGCACCATTTGTGTGACACATCGTACGACCATATCACGAATTGTGGAAGAACTAAAATGTGAAAAGTCCAGTTGTTGATTCAAGCAAATCGTAGACTGAAAATTGCAGTTCTTGTTGCAAAATTCATAAAGATATCGAAGAAAGAACTTTAATCAAATCCTTCGAATTATAACAGACAAAAGAGAGCGATTGATTGAAAGACGTCCTTTGTAACATTCTTCGTTAAATTTTAACTTCGAAAAGAATCTGCAAAGTCTTCCACACATTTTGTTTTATTGAGAGAAAGATTTTCAAGCTGCAAAAAACTTTACATTTTCTGACAGAATTGACTCTGCATAAACTTACGAGTTTTTCTTCACTATGTATTCAAAGGGTCGGAGAAAATCCTTTTGAAATCGGAAATTTGGCAATTCGCCCTTTTCCAAGAATTTCATGGATAATTGTCGCAAAGAGTCGACACAGAAGAACGCAACTTCTTCATTAGGGATATAACCACACTAAAATGGCACATAAATTATCTAAGATGGAGAAGTACTATAGTTGGTAGAACATTGGATATGAAGGCATTGATTATCTTGTTTTTATACTTGAGATATGAAAGAAACTAGAACTGTGTTTTAAAATATCATTATAGTTCACAGTTGATCTGATGGTTTAGTTGATAGAGCATTGACGACAACGATTATCTTGTTACTATACCTGATTACATCACAACAATTGATGTTTTTATCAATAATATCAAGATACAATTTTAGTCGTTAATAATCGCTAACCTTGTTAAAATGATCTCCCAACACAGCCCATATTCGTGAACATTGCAGCCGAATGCGACCCATATTTTAATAAGCAATCTCTACGATCTTCTGCAGACTAAACATACGTATCATTGTAGGATTGGAAAGCTCAACTTCCGAGACTTGACGTAAACCTTCCACGAAATCGACTTAGGAGAAAAACGAAAACATTTTGAGATTTGGATACAGGAGATAACGGTACTTGGGATTTGAGAACTGGGGATTTGAATACCGGGGATTTGGAATATTGGGATTTGGATACTTGGGATTTGGTATTTGGAAACAGGGTATTTGGGTACTAGAAATTTGAGTACTTGGGATTTCGGGTATTGGAGATTTGGGTCCTTGGGATTAAGAATAGTCAGTGAATTATGGTCAAGTTAAATGTATAAAAATCTTATGTAAGATGCAGTTTAATGTATACATGCAAACCTACCGATAGCATCACCATCCAGTTTCACTGATCCCGTGAAAACTCTAAACGTAATAAAACACAATGAAGAAGTTGAGATGAAGATATTCTGCTGAGAGAACATAACGTATGGACAGTGCACGAGTTCTTCAAAATTTTATTTTCATGTTTATGTTCAATGTTCTCTGGTTCACTTAAGATGAAGATGACTACCGCTAAGGATGTCAAAACGTCAGTCAACAACAACAATAACAGTCCTTCTCAGGACTCTGCTAACATGGACAATGAACATGTCTACATAGAGAATCATCCATCGAATTTTCTTCGAATGTCCAACAAGACGAACATAAACGTCTTTCTTGAGAAAAATATTCCTGGTTCATTTTCTTATAAATAATCATTACTGATGTACATTTGTGATACGATTCTCTGATGAAGGGTATGGAATACGGTCAACAAAGCACTTGTAAAAATGAAAGTTAAAGACTGTAGCAATATCGTGAAGTTTCCACTACAGACAAGACCTAGACTTTTTCCTTTGATGAAAAAAATCAATCGATCATATTTTCAGTCGTAGACACCAACCATAATATATAGCAAGATGATTCTCTCTACCTCGAGCCAAGACTTCCCGATGTAATTACCATCCGTTTAAGCGATGGTAAGAAGTGTCTTGATCGTCTCGATGTTCTTCGTTTTCATTTCACGAATATGCGTGCCACTGGTCGCAGTAAGTAAAGTGAACCTGGATAGCCCTTGTACGAAATCATCTCTTTTCAACTACAATGTGAAAAGAGTTATTAGGAGTATCGAAAAATGAACTTAATGGTAAAGAATCTCAATTCATATTAACATCATAACATCATTATAACTAACTGTAATCATTGAAAAAATTTTTAAGTAAAGATTAATTCACATTCACATGCATCCTGATATATCCATATATGTACACAAACTGACAATTAATTCAAAGGTAAACAAACATCTATTTTTATTGTATACACATGAGTATCATCTAAACCTTGAACATATAACACGCAAAGAACACGACGTGTATGTAACTACGTAAATATATTCATAAATTTCAACAATTCAACATTCAACATATTTCTGAATATATATTTATGTCCGGCAAAGGGTCACCAGGGGATGAACAGGTATGCAGAGATATTAATGTCGTTATTTCATACCCAAATATGTAAAAATGAACAGAATGTTGGGTGTTTATCAACTTACAGGCATGCTGAATATGCAAGATATTCGTATTGCACAGCGGATTCCATCAAGACAAAATGAAGGAATAGAAGGATCGTCGTTGTCTTGTAGATTGACGCTGAACGCGGCAAGAAACGGACTCCATGCAACCTTAAACACATAAAACAAAATGAACAACAATGGGGACTGGGGCCGGTTGTAGGAAGCAGATTTAGCTTATGTAGTGGATTATCTCAATAGAAAATCCAATCAAATCATTCACTGGTCACTTAAATTATTAGATTATCAAACAGATTTACTCTTCGTCATCGCAAACATTCATTACATAAAATCTAAGTCTTTTCTTTAACAAGATTAAGATGAATGTCATCATGTTTTGAAATCTACGCCCCCCGTACTTGGCACTGTCCGTATAATTTGACATCACAATTAACGCTTCATTAATCAATCCTTACATACACCACAAACATTATCCTCCAGACTCCACCCCCCCGTACCTTGAACATTGTCTTCACGTGACCAATCTGTATCGCCGTGACAAAATCCGTCTGAATATGACTCACGTCTTCCATTTGTGTTTTGGCGTTTTCCGCCATCTGCTCCATTTCCATAGAATACAACATACGACGATGTTTCTCAATATTCAAATCTGTAAAGTGGAAGCACAATAAAAAATCTCTTTACTTTCATGAAAATGCATTGGAGCTCTCTTAAGACCAACACCGAGCATCTCAATATCCATTATGGGCCCCTTTCCTAAACCATCTCAAGACCAACACCTTCATCTCAAGACCTTCACCTTTATCTCAGAGGTAGGACTCTACACTTTGCAGTCAAGACCTTTACCTAGCATCTGCATAATTTTTTCAGTTAAGCCTTGATTCTCGTATTAATGTTCCAATACATACATGTAGCATCGTATCTACTGTTCACTTTTGGTGTATATTTCATCTTGATTTCATTCTGTGCAATATCATCATAAATTGCTTCAAGATATTCAGATGGAAGATCTTTACTGTCATTTATACCACGATTCATTTGAATGTACTGCTCTTTCGTTATCTTCCGTTTTACCTGAAAGAAAATTTCACGTGATTACGATGTCGCATCTAAAGGCTAATTTTTCACGTGATTCCAATGAAGGCTCCATATCAACACCATGAAAATCTCGCGTGACCACAATGGAGTCACGTGATCTTAGACATTATGTCACTTTTTTAGGAAACCATTGCAAATGAAGTAAGTCTGTGTAACCTGTGAACTATTTAGATCAGTTGTCAACATGATGATAGAATAAGCCAGAACGTAGGCAGCGTCTGCACTAGCAAACACATCGTCACTAAAATATAAATGACAAATATAAATAAAAGTTTATCACAGACAATCTAACCTAGCTATATCTGGACATGTTTGTAAATGAGTAAGGTTGAAGAAACGTCAGTCAACATCAACAACAACAGTCCTTCTCAGGACTCTACAAACCTGGACAATCTACATCTACAAACGTGTAACAATACTCTCAGTTCAAACAAGTCGCTTTACATCTATCTGACAGCAAATTGCAGTCCTCAAAACTCGAATAATAAAAGTTTGATGAGAAAATACTTAAAAAAATCGTGCTATAAGCCATTGAACTAAAATACATCTGGAACGCTACCTGTAATAGAAAAGTCTAATAAATTCTTGAAGCTAAATTTTACACCCAGACACGCGTGTGTAGTCAATCAATTTTCAGAATCTCGAAACACTACACACGCGTGTCTGGGTGTAAGATTTGGCTTCAATTATTTGCTTCAGGGAACGTTTCATGTATTTTAGTTCAATGCAACAAACACAACCCTGTGAAAACTATATATTTATACACAACTTAACTTTATATACTCACTCTATTTGTTAGTGCTACAAATGCATCTATGACCAACCATTTTTGCGTCAAGATTTCAACATCTTTATCTGTCAGAGGTTCACGAATACGTAATTTGACTTCAATCTTTCCACCAATCACCTTGCGACCTTTCTCGGGATCCATAAGCTGCAATTGTAATTAAGTCCATTTACGACAGCAATCGTTCTTACGTACGTAAATTTTGAATCGAGATAACATGTATTTTAAGTGACATTATGTATGATGTGTTTATCAAATAATGGAGGTCTAACTGGAAAACTAGTTCTAGTCCTTTTTCTGCCTTTACATATCACGTGGCAGACATTAAGAATATAGTGAAGTCTGAAATGCTACATTGGGTAAACATGCCTTTATTTGTACAAAGCTTATACTATACGCGTATAGTTCGGCATTTTAGCTTACCGAAATGTTGTCTTCAAATTTTAGCGGGTGGGTAGCCGTCCAGTTATATATAGTTCAATGATTTAAACACAGTTTCTGCAATTATTAATTCATAAAGTTCAAAAAAATACCACACAATACTTACATTAAGACATTCGTGAATTTCACATCTAATATCAAACGGTGATAACTTAAGAGAAGCTTGACCCAGCGTCTCCTCACCTTTCAGAAATCCTCTAAATGGTTTGAACATTTACTGACGATAAAAAATATTTCACATAATGTAAAACAATGAAACATCCATCTCACGTACGACAAACCTGTTGTATTTTATTTCAAATTTCACACTTTGCCGTCGAAATAATCTCGCCAACGATCGGTTTTTTCTGTCGATAGATATCTTAAACTTTTGATCAAATTCTATACGAAAAAAAAGCGTAATTGATCATCGATGTAGGATAATGAATTTAATGAGGAGGGAAGGTTCTAGCATAACAAAAAATCTTACAACCACAACATTGGATATTATTGACGTCTCGAGAACTGAAGTATAACGACCATTCTGTCTCTTGTAAAAATACTCCTCCCCAGTCCCCATTGCCACTCCAATAACCACAACATAGGATATTAATGACGTCATGAGTACTTAAGTAACACGACCATTCTGTCCACAGCATTGAACTAAAATACATGGAACGCTACCTGTAATACAAAACCCTAATAATTTTTTGAAGCCGTGATTTTACCCCAGACACGCGAGACTTTACCCCAGACACGCGGTGTAGTCAATCAATTATTACTCCGCGAGAGAATCTCGAAACACTAAACACGCGTGTCTGGGGTAAAATCTCGCGTGTCTGGCGTAAGATATAGTTTCAGTTATTTGCTTGAGGTAGCATTCCACGTATTTTAGTTCAATGGTCCATAGTAAAGCAACTCCTCCCCAGTCCTCACTCACCCTCAATACAAGACCATGCAGGGATCCAATGCTGTATGATATCATTCATTTCAAATAAAACTTACCAGGATTAATGTTGTGTTTGATGGTTTCCGCCAGTTTGAGGTTGATCCTAAAGTTGAGTGATTTTAAAATTTAGTGTAGACAAATAACATTGATTTAAGAAAAAGTGAGAAAGTGTTTGTTACATGAGCAAAATCTGTCGTTTGCAAAACATAGAATTTGTTCAACGGTAATGAGAACAACTGCTTGAACAATGATTTTATTGTCTAACAAAATTGTTAAAAATGCTTCCATTGTTTGTCACAATTGCACGACCTTGCGTTGTGTTTAATCATACAAAGATGTCAACTGAGCTATGAAGTCACACAGTGGTGAGCAGGTCAATTTTGTTGGGCTCATGTTTTCTCATGAAAGGAATGTCATATGAAAGAATGAGATGTTTTTCGTATTTGCACAGGCTTATGCAAACCTCGGAGACGTTTGTGAGAACTCTAGAGCTTGTGCAACCCTCGACCTTCGGTCTCGGGCGTGCAATGATCTGCTCTCAAAGGTCTACTTGGTTTGCATAAGCCTGTGCAAACACAGTAAACATCTTTTATTTCTTAAATAAAACATAAACCAACTTACGTTAGGAAAGGAAAATTCATAGGACACATACACTTTCATATCGTCTTTAAATGAAGATATGATCTTCGCACTTTGCTGGACAATTTAAGCAATCGTCTCAGGACCTGAAAAATTCAGGTGACTCAACGGGATCACGTTGAGTCACCTGAATTTTAAGGCTCCTGAGACAACTGCTTAAATTGTCCAACAAAGTGCGAAGATCATATCTTCATTTAATTTCAAACACCGCACTGCATAAAACATTCATATATCGTCTTTGTTGTAACCTTGAAGTATATTGAAATTTTTTAAAGATTGATTTTTAAGGTTTATAGATGTATGTATCAGATTAAACATCCATTGTTTGACCTGACACTTATTAATCCTCTAAACACCTTATTAATCCTCTAGACACCTTATTAATCCTCTAGACACCTTATTAATCCTCTAAACACCTTATTAATCCTCTAGACACCTTATTAATCCTCTAGACACCTTATTAATCCTCTAGACACCTTATTAATCCTCTAGACACCTTATTAATCATCTAGACACCTTATTAATCCTCTAGACACCTTATTAATCATCTAGACACCTTATTAATCCTCTAGACACCTTATTAATCCTCTAGACACCTTATAATTCCTTTAGACATCTTATCAGTGTGCGAATTAGTTGAGAAAAAACGATGTGCAATTTTTTTGACAAAAGTGTTTCTTTAGAGGCGTAATCAAATCGATATTACGTTAATTATTATACAGCGCTAATTGCTAAATTAATATTTTTAAACGTGAACAAATTCATATGATTTACGACGGTGTTTTTCGTTACAACCGCTGATCCAGTTACAAATTTAGGAGAGAAAATGTTTTCGCATGTTGTTCTCTCCTCTTTTTTGTGCAAACTTTACAGCGCAATAAATTCACCACTAGGCCATCATCTTAGTAATCAAACGAGTCAGCATTTGATGTTTCCATCCATTTTTTACTGCATTAACTTTGCTGATAGCTACAACCTTTCGACGAAAATGACAAGAAAGACAAAAGTGAAAAGAGAATAACCGAATATACTTTTGCTTTCTGATTATTAACAGTAACATCCTTGATGTTTGCTTACGATAAAAAACATCACCTTTGTTCAAGGTTGCCAGTTTGGCTTAATATTTTGAGCCAAATTTGGCTTCTTTTTCTAACGTTAGGCTTACTTAAAATCAAAATTCCCTTTGGTTTAATCTTCAAATTTGGCTTATTTAAGTTTTTTCTGTCTTCTTTTAAGAATTAAAATCAAAATGTTTCCCGATTTTCATGAAAATACTCAAAATAGCTATAATGCCAAAAACGGTAAGGGTTTACAAAACAACGCAAATGCAAAAATTGACATTAATAATGTATGACACCCCTATTGTCATAAGCATATAAGCACCATGTATGTAGACTGTTGACAGACTTCCCAGTCTCAGTGATAACGTCTTTGAATTTGATGAAATTGTGCCAACATGGACTTTAATGTCGTGCAGAGCACTCGTTTATAAAGTAAAGATCAGTAAAGATTCAGCTTGAAAACTTTCTTCAATTTATGTGGTAATAATCAATAAAGAAATTTTTTGCATATCGTTTGAAAAAGTGATGTGCAATTGTCTTCATATTATATAAAACGATGTGTAAATTGCACATTGCACACCTTTAATACGCACACTGCACCTTATTAATCCACTATATTTTATCCTAAATCCTAAGACCAAAAGATTTTAATCAAATTCAACTATAATGAAGAAAAGACATATTTACCTGAAGGAAGTGGAATATTGATGCATTTGACGATTCTTAATTCACATTCCTGGTCACCCAAATCTGTATTCGATCTGTCAGGTTGAAAACAAAATAAACATAAAATAATTATGTTAGTGTTTGTTGGCTAAACTGTCAGGTTGAGAATAAAATAAACATAAATAATTATGTTAATGTTTGTTAGTTAAAGGTGTTCGTGAAATTACTGCACTAAAAGCAACAAATAAAACTAACTTTACATAGAGTAGCGTAGTCAGTCTTTGAATTTAGTCACTCTAACCAAATGTTAGAACATTATTATTTGTAAACTTAATGTTGGGGTGTTGATGGTTTAAGTAGGTAAGAATGAGTTGCACAGGGTTTAGATAGGTAAGAAAGGGTTACACAGGGTTTAGATAGGTGAGAAAGGGTTACATAGGGTTTAGATAGGTGAGAAAGGGTTGCAAAAAGTAACATGACTTGCCTTGCGAGTGTCGAATGGCGAGTGACACGCGAGTCAATAGCAAGTCATTTGAGAGAGACGAGTTGCAATTGAGCGAGTCACTCGAGATGCAGTTGCGAGTCACTCTCGAGTGTGAGAAGTTTGCGAATGAATAAGTGACTCGCTGTTTGCGAGTGAATAAAATAACTCGCTGTTTGCGAGTGAATCGAAATAACTTCCCTCACCTTAAGTATTATCAAAACCCTATTTATCCTAAGCCAACCCCACAGTGTCCAACACTGAAAGAAATTACGCCAAATTATAAAATCTCAATGGACATTAAGAGCAGAATGTAAAACGCTATTGCTAGTTTGAAATCTATTCAAAATCCACTCAAAATAAAAGAAAAGAGAAAATACATTCACTCAATGGTTTTTAAAGATTAAAATAAACACAGTAAGATAATAACCACCTGACGTTATGAAATGTTCTGTTTTCATAATGATAACGTGGAGGAGGATTACCATGTTTGAAAGAACTTTGTAAAGAATCGTAATCATGTTGACAGTTTATCTCCAATTTCTCAAACGTTAAATAAAAGTAGAAATAAGTACAAAATATCTCAAATGATTCCAAAGGTTCTACTTTGTTGTGATTGTATGCTCCCCCTCATTCCGTAAATCCCCCCCCCCCGGAAAAAAGAAACCTACAAACAGAAACAAATCAAGATTTCACCTCTACATAGATGGGCCGGAAAGACTGGGTCCAGTTATGTCATGATTATGTGCACGCCCCAGGGTGGCAGCAATAACATGAAAAAAATGAGCAACTAAAAACATTACTTTGGACTAATCCATGATGACAATACACAATTGACATTCACACACAGAAAAAATTTCCTGTACACACAATATATGATGACGTATGAACCTGACAACAAATATGGAAAACCTGACTTTTACTCCTCACTTTATTCTGGAGATGACTACCACTAAGAATTACAAAACATCAATTAACATCAACAACAACAATCTTTCTCATGACTGCACAAATCTGAACAATCTACATCTAAAAACATGTAACAATACTCCAAGGTTTAAATCATTCACTTTATTACTACCAAACTATTATATATTAGTACAAACCAGTGGCTACTGATATGAATGTCATCTTTAAAATTTAAAATTTTACAAGACAAATTAAAACAGATAAATAAACTATATGTTTAGAGTTTGAATATCTGAGAATGCAGAGAAGAAAATGTTTTCAAATGAACTTCATTATCAAATAATGCATTGATAATATGTACAGTAAAATACAGATTTGTGTTTGTATTCATGTCTTTTAGTGTTTTCCAGTGATTTATCACTTATGACATAAGTTTAAAACTATGTCTACATCAATGGAATGGAATTTGAAACCATATCCATATCAAAAAAGGTTTCCAAAGAAATAATTGATCATAAAGTTCCGAAATTTTCATAGCGTGACTAAACTTGAGAACTGACTACGCTACTTAACACAATCGCTTTTATAGAAAATTGATCGATGGTATTTCAAATATTAGTTGTTTATATAAATACCTTGGTAGAAGCGTTCAAACTTTGGAGGTACTTGTCTTCTTTGGCATAAGAGAAAACTTCAAGCAAAGTACAAATGATTAAATATGGTTTATTGCATTGAAACAAGAAGGAAAAGTTTCTCCCTCAAATAAAAATGCAAATAACAAACTAGAAACAGGAAACATTGAGTTGACGTACTTCATGTAAGAAAAGATAAAATATCTTTTAACAACAGCTCCTTTGATGAGGTATAGGCTTCTCTGCACTAGGTTAAATAAATTTCTCATTTGGCATTTTCCGTTTTTTTTAAGTACTTTCAGTAACATATGTTAGTTAAGTTGTAAAGGTTACAAACGTCGGTATCTTTGGTTAAAATGGTTGAACGAGCATACAGATTTTTTTCGAGTGGTCTCCTTTGATTTTGGTAAAACCTTTGAAAAACTTTTCTTTTCCAATCTGACTCTGGTTACTCTGGTTACTATTTCACATTCTAAATTTAACACTTTTAGTCGCGAATAGTAAAACTCTTCACATTATGAAGGTTTTAACAAGACCTGTTATATCCTTCCATAAATTTCTTACTTCGCCTGTTCGCCAGTAAATACACAGTACTTACACTTCCTCTCTATAAAGTTAAAGCGACTTGACTGACGTTAAAGTAAACACATAAGAATTTAAATACTTTAACACTTCTGAAATTGACGTCACGATAAAATTTCCTTTCAAACATACAATCATTAATCCTCTAACGTCTTTGAACAAAATTTTTACGCCCGTTTCAAACATCGAACTTTATATTTATGAACTAAAATAAGGCCCTGTTTACTGTATAGAATTGCTATAGCTGCAGGTTAAATTTTCTATGTATTAAAAGTCAGTGATATTGTTAAATGCAAATAAGAAAATTAAATTGACTAAAATCTATCAACTTAATAAGCATTTACTCCAAACTTTTACCTCTTAAAAGAAAATGAAGGTATCTTGATGAGCAAATCTGGTATATAATGTAAACGCAGCCAAAGCTTTAAATTTTGTCAAATGAAATCTCAATGTAACATGATCATGCAATTAAGAAATAATAGATGTTTCATGTTTTTGCACAGGCTTATGCAAACCGAGGAGAACTTTGGGAGAACTCAAAAGCAGATCAGTGCAAGCCGGAGACGAAGGTTGAGGGTTGCACCTGCTCGAGAGGTTGCCCTAATTTTATTACTCTGTCCTTAGTTATCCCTCCCCTTTTGTAAAGTAAGAAAAACTTCAGAACTTAAGATTTTGTAATTTTATATTAGAGAAG